ATATGAAGTAGAATTTTGGGATTTTTTTTTTAAATCGAAGGGGTCGGACTTTTTGAAAATGTCGATTTTGAGCTTGAAACGCAAATAACTACATGATAATCACTTCGAATAGTTTTTTTTCTTCTGAAACTCCATTTAAAGACGAAAAAAATGATACCCCATTTTTTACGATTATCGATATTTATCACTAGTCTATCATTAATTAAACATTTTTCAGCTCAAAATTTAAAAAATCCATTTCTCAATAACGGTTTGGAATAAAAGGCTTAAAATTAGTGTGCAAGTTGCTTTTAATACGTACTAAAACATATCAAAAATTTAGCAAAATCAAAAAGGGTCACGTAAAAAACTCGATACATGCATGATGTAAGGAAATTTCTGAATTGGAAGTTAGTTCCTTGGAGGGTTTAACGACTATTAGTTAAAGCTCTTCAAATAAATTAAACAAAAATTACTAATTGGAAGTTACGAGTATATTGGACTAATTGTTATAGCGAAAAAGCAGTTAGTTTTTTGAATACTTTTAATATTGTTTTATTTTAATATAAACGTATACGATCTGAAGATGCTACTGTGTAGCGAAACAATTGTCATATTTAAATAAAATAGTGAAACTTTTAAACAGTGTAGTTTATATTAAAATAAAACAATATTAACATGGAGTTTCATCAAGTAAAAGTCGAAACAATTAATTGAATACTTTTATATAAAAGATATAATTTGACCACCTAATTCCAAATATAAGCTTTGTTTTAACGGATCACGTCACAATTTTTTTTATTTAGATACAATACATATTATATATTTATACATATATGTACAGGGTTATTCCGTTCCTATATTTAGACAGCGGCTACTGAGTTTATTATAAAAGAAAAGTTGTAGGGTTTGTCCTAAATCGCTAGAAAATGTTACGTAAAATATCAAATGAATATATCAAAGTTAGTAAGAAATACTATTTTGGCAAACCCTGTATATTATAACAAAAATTAATAGATCTTTTTTCCCGAAATTCAAAAATATATAATATGTTTACATTTGGTTTAGCCCTTTCTAAAATGTTTGCATTTAAAAAACGAAATTGTATTGCCTTACCAAATCGTACTTGCCATGAAAAACAAACTAGTTAGTTCTGGCTTATTTTTCAAATGAAAATAATAAATTAATAGGTACATATAAATTATAAATGGCGTTTAAACCATTTGTTTTATCATGGCAACTAGGATTTAATAAGGCAATATAATAAATAAATTTGTTAATAATACTGCCGTCCTTAATGAAAACGCCGTAACCAACAATTTTGAAATTTTTGGTTTACGGCATTTTCTACTAGAAAAATTCATCCTGCGTCTATCCCCGGTACTAAAAAAACCGTATCTATATATATACGGTTTTTTGAGTACCGGGGATAGACGCAGGATAAATTGTTCTAGTAGAAAATGCCGTAAACCAAAAATCGCAAAATTGTTGGTTACGGCGTTTTCATTAAGCACGGCAGAATAGCTGTCATGATATGTTATGAAAAGAAGGTTGCTATCGATTTTTCTTTAACATTAAGGGTATCAAAGTAAAATATACCTAATGAAGTTAAAAAATTATTTATTGGTAAAAAAAAATTTATTCTTCAAAATTATACAAGACATATTGAATTACCAGAGAAAAGTCTCATTTCCTTCATTATTAGGAAAATTTATGTCTCTGCTTGGAAATGTTAAATCGTTAAAAGTTTTTAAAGAAAAATAAGAAACTCTAAGCTGTTTTAAAACAATCATTTAAGTCGGGTTTTAATACATCTTCGTAATAAAAAGTTTTAGTTTTACTTAAATAGAGAGCTTTTTTTTATTAAAAAAAGATTTTCTAAATTATGTATTAACATAAGACTTTAACTATTGATTTTGTAATTAGTAAAATACATAAAATTGATATAAAAAGTAAAATCCAATGATAAAAAAATATTTTTTTTAAAATCATGCAAAGGTATACTAAAATGTCCTAAAATGGTCTTAATTTTCTCAATGTTCTCGAGAAGATTACCAATATTTTTACAGGTGTTAAAATCTTGTTCTCTATTATAAAACTCTTTTTTGTTAAACGGTTTAATAATAAAATAAAAAATATATATACATATATATATGTTTTTATAGTATAAAGTATATTAAGGTAAACATTCAATTTTCTTAGTTTCTTTAAGAAACTTTCTTGACCCATCACTGGTAATATTCATAAGAATATAAGTATATTATGTATACAGTATATTATGTATACAGTATAAAGTATATAATGGTACGTTTTTCGAGGCTATTTATTTTATTTCGGTAGTTTTGAAAGCTAGCAAAAAGATTTCGGCAGATTTGGATTCCCCTTGAAAAAGTGCCTCAATAATGTCTTAATTAGAAAGGGCTACCTTCAACCGTTTGGGAAATAAAATATTTAAAAATAATGATCTGCACGAAAATGTGCAACTTTTTCATAATTTAACCCACTATGTATAAGCGAGATACCCATTTTTTATATATGTATTTGTCGTAAAAAACGTTTCTTTTCTAGACACGCGCAAGCTTACTTGTGTCCAATTTAAATTCGTGACTAAAACAGCGTTTATCAAACCCGTTCGGGCCAATAAAAAAATTCGACTACTGTCAGATCTACCTAACCTCAATTTCTGCTTTTAATAATTATTATTAAAACTGTATGTTTTAGCAAATAAAATTGTGCTTTAAAGATAAAACATTGTATGCCATTCGACTGAGACGTGTCTTTTTCTGCTTTGCTCAATTGTTAAAACTTTGAGCTCAGCACAAAAAGACTCACTTCTAAGCCTTATGACATAAATAACTATTAATTTCAATAGTTAAATATATCTTACAATTCGTTGAAATTGCTGGCTTAAAGAAAACATATTAACGAAAAAAAATCCATCTAAACTAGCAAAAAAAATAACTTGATAAGGTATAATCGCGATGAAGTGGGTAAAGGAGGGAATATTATGTCGGATATACAAAACTTGACAGGCAACGTGTTCCCTACGGATATTCCATTGCCTCTGTAAATGAAATTTTATTTGATAGAAGCTGACATGTAGAATAAACTTTTATTAATTAATTCCTTTTTAATATTTAATCAATTTTCTCATTCAAAAATATTTTCCCGCTTTATCAGCATATTGCTTAAAAGAAGGTATCTAAGAATTATAAAAGGTTTTCATCTAAACAAGTAAAGGACCTGACAATAAGGATGTACCATTATTGAATTTTTTTATGATATTTACTGTATTTTGTATTAAGTAGTAATAACATTAATGTATGACGTTTTATCATGGATCATTTCATCCTACCACAATGTTTAAAAATTATTTAAACTAATTATCGAAATTCAAGTTCTGTTCGATCTACTCGAAGAGCACTTACAGTCCTGCAGTATTTTCTGGCGAGACGCATTTCTGGCTAAATGGCTTTATTAATAGGCATTAAGAGGCACTTATTTTCATCAGGTTGGTGAGACTTGCCACCGTGATGACATATATATATATATATATATATATATATATATATTAGGGTGCATTTTTTTTCACGACTATTTTTATTTTTTTGCTCCCAACTCAAAATCTTGTTAAAAATGTTAAAAAAAATTACCTGAAAATTTGAGCCCTTAATATTAACTCAAAGTAAAAATAAATAACTAAAACAATCAAGCATAATTATTAATAAAATAACATATTTTATGTAATACACCTCGTTTTATCAATTTTTAGGTTAGATATATCTTTTCTCTTTAAAGTTATGTTATTAATAATTATGCTTCATTGTTTGAGTTATTTATTTTTCTCCAATCACCCGACTGTAGGAAAAACGTAATTAGATGAAATTGTACTGATAAACAATTAAAAATCATCATTTATAAAAACATGAGAATTTTTAACTAAAATAAGATTTAGTGACCCGTATCCGCATCCTACAGATGCAGATTACAGCTATGGCACATAAAGCATTTTTTGTAGAACTTTTGATTGTTTCAAAAGATTTACTCGTATATATACGAGTATACGAGTAAATCCCTATTTGAAACAATCCAATAGCATAAAAAGCGGCTGAGATATAGATATTTAAAAAAAAATCAAAGTTGACGTGTATTTTCAATAGGAAATCTTTATACGCTTTGGTAGAGTTAATATTAAGAACATTTTCAACAAAATCAAAGTTGACGTGTATTTTCAATAGGAAATCTTTATACGCTTTGGTAGAGTTAATATTAAGGGCTCAAATTTTCAGGGAATTTTTTTTTGAACATTTTCAACAAGATTTTGAGTTGGGAGCGAAAAAATAAAAATAGTCGTGAAAAAAAAAAAAAATATATATATATATATATATATCTATTTAGAATGCAATGTGTAAAATAAAGTCTATTGAAAAGATAGTTTGATAAGTCAATAATTGCAAGTTGGAATAATGTGATTTGAAAATATTGTTTTACTTTTTTTGGGTTACACAAATTTACAAGTTAACAGCAGCAATCCCTTAGCTCTTGTCCCCGAATCTAACATTCTACTATCTTAAAATGAATTAGTCAAAAGTCACGGAGTGTGTGCACGAGCATTTTGGGCATCTGTAGGTTTTTACTGACGTATACGTCAGTATAAAAGTAGTATACTATGCTCCACAACCAAAAGTCCCACTTTGACATTTAAATACAAATGTAAGTGTGTACAAAAATATTTTGAAAACCACCCCCGACATATTTTTCTGGATCCGCTCCTGGGCATTAAGCTTTGCTTGCGCCTATAACTAAAACTCGTGGATAAAATGCCGTTTATCAAACTTGATACATAAAATACTATTATACATAAAATAAAAAGAAAATACCTATCGAGTGCACAAATTAAGTGTTGGGCAAACCAATCTGGAAATATTCACGTCTAGAGAATCGGGAGGATCAAAGTTTCAAGTCCGGAGTTATGCGAATGCAGTATTTCCGTCGTGCGGCAGCATTTAAATGTCAAATACATTATTGACAGTCGGGTTTAAACAGTGAAACGGTGCCGCCGCCACCGCCGCCTCCTCCGTTAAATTGCTCTTTTCGCATACAGCAAATGGGCTAGACATGAGTGGCAGAGGCAATAAGAACGAATTCAACAAATCTGACAGTTCTTCATCGGGAATTGCACTGTCTATTGTTGCTTGCCAGACTCGACCGCACATTTTTACCATTCAATTTTTACACAAACTCTCCTTTGTGCTCTTTGTTCGCTCTTTTGATTAATTTTTACAAATTTATTGCCTGCACGCGAAACAAAAAGAAACAAACCTCAACAAGGTTGTATTAGGTAAAATAGAAAAAAAAAATCATTTTAATTAACGTTTAAACGACAATTTTATCACCGGTCCTACCGGTTTCAGAGACCGGGGCCCCGAGCAGCAGGGGGCCCCCAAAAGTCGCAAGAGATTTTTTTTTTATCTAGGTAAATATAAGAAAAATGTTCAATATGAAAAAAAAAATTGTAGTAATAAATATTCGTTGCCTGCTTGATATATTTCTATTGTTTGGTTTGATTGAAAACAAATTCAAAATCTAGAACTCAAAATTTGGAATTAAATATTTTGAAATAAACATAGGTTAATTTAAATTTGAAATTACAAATCTAGAATCATAAACTCAAAATCGAATACTTCACATCGAATGTCTGAAATTTTGAATAGGATATACGTATACGTATACGTATACATTCTTAGTCAACAATAGAAATTCAAAGATAAAAAATAAAAATGAAAAATTTGCAATTTAAAATAAGAAATTTTCGATTTCACATTTACAATGTTTTCAAAATCATTAAAACTTATCTTCGAAGTACCATGGGCCAGGAGCCTTTGAGTAATTTGAGTATTCTGTCCATTGAACACGAAATAGCCAATCGTTTGAGAACAGATTAAATTATTCACAAGTTTGCTGATTTGAAAGTAAGGCGTAATTAATTTTGAATATGAATATCACAACTTCGAGAAGTCAAAAATTGTCCATAAAAATAAAATGTTTTACGTGAATAACACTTGAACCTATTTTTAAACATCATTTGTATATACATCCATTCGAAATCAAGTGCAATGAATATAATTGTGTGGAGTGCCCAAGTAACATTTTTAGTTTTATTATGGTCTTCAAGAACGCTTTAAAACAAAATTTTGTTTTAAAGCGTTCTTGAAGACCATAATAAAACTAAAAATGTTACTTGGGTGGTATAGGTAAGTTTAAAAATCCGAGTTGGGCCCCCATTTCTATAGTTACGCCACTGAATTTTATTGCATTTACCTTAAAAAATTGTTGTGGTCTTTTAATTGTTTTGCAAAATTTGTAATTGTCAAAAATTATAATTGGTTTAATTTATTTTTCCTCAGCAATAGTAAGAACTAATTATAATTTGATTTATACTGTTTTCTTAAAATCACTTCTCGTTCGTATTTAGGAACACTCTGTGGCTTGTCACAAGTACTATAGATAAAATAAGAAATACAACAAATATTTACATTTATTTTTATTTTTAAAATGGAAATAAAAATACACGCCATTATTAAATCCGCTTTGAATAAAAAGGATTATTCTTTTGTTAAATTGGATTCACCGCGTTTTAGTCGATTAGAATGTGGTGATCGCACATTACTTTATCCATTTTAAAATCCAACATAAAGGCCCGCATGCCAATCAATACAAACGTTTTAATTTTGTAAACAAATATTTTGCGAGACCTGTATGTTAATTATATGATTAGTTTTAAAGTGACAATGAAATATTAATTAAAATAAACAGTAATTAATTAAGCATTTTACTTGATGACAAATTGTATGCAAATTTAGCACAATGCGTTCCCGGGGGAGTAAACAACATTAAATCAATTAAGCAAAGCATACATAATGAATACTTGATTTTTCATATATGCTAAATTAGCATTGCTAATATCCAATTAAAATATTTGTTAAAGAAAAGTCACTCTACTCACTAAAAATGAATAAGTCAAAAATGACTAATTGTCATAGCGAAAAAGCAGCCACTAATAATTCTCGTCAAAAGCAATTTGTATCCTGAACATTTAGCAGTAAAATTGTCCCCTATATCTAAAAATATCATCAAAAGTTAGAAAAGTAGAAGTTTTTGATATATAGTCAATTTTCCATATAATATGGAATTGACTATATCTCAAAAACTGCTTTAATTTAATAATTTTTGACGGTATTTTCGGATTTAGGGGAACATTTTACATAATAATTGGCTGTTAAGTTGGGATACCATGGTATCCCATGGTTAACCATGGTATAAGTGAAAAAGCAGCCACTAATAACTATAGTAATTGGTCATTTTTGAATAATTCATTTTTATAGAGTACCATAAAAAATGGTGAATGAAAAAAGATTTGTAAAAAATCATAAATTGTTTAAATTTATTTTTGAAAGCATCCTTTTGACAAAAAACTAATAATTCAAAAGTTATCACATTTCCCGATTATACTATTTGTGAAACTGTACGGTAGCCATTTTAGTTGAACATGTAGTTTCCTTACAATTCGAAGGCGGTAAACTTTAATTACATATGTGATTAAAATTCAATAGCTTAAAAATTGATGGGGTACGCAGTAAGGAATGCAATCTTGGTATACCAAGATCTCGCACTAATTCTGCATGATTAGTCTTGCACGAAAAAACATGCGCGATCTCGCAAGATTTGCGAGATAAGGACGCAGTGCATTCCATGTGTGTTTTGTGTTATTTGAGATTTCAGAATTCCTTTTCAAAATAATGTAGTTTTTTCAATAAATAATTTTAGTCATGTTTATGTTCTTTGGTTCAATAGCTTGATGATTATTCTTAAATGAATTATTTAATTTATGTTTTTATTTAATTATTTTGCCCTTACGATATATCCTAACAGTTGGAATCCAAATAACTATAGTAATTTCTTTTTTTATTAATCTTAACCCGTAACTGGTGAGGTCACTTTTTTGTTACATAACTGGCGGGGTGGAGTTTGCCAAACCTCAAATGAAAACGGCGATTCTGCGAAATCAAAATAAAATGACGCGTATGTTATTCACTTTTGGGTAACCTTTATTGATTATAATGCGTTTCTAGTATGAACTTCTTACTTCCAAAAAAAAAACAAAAATTTTAGCAGTAATTAAATTTTATTGTGGGGCTCCACAAAACTTACTTCAAAACTTATTTTTAATTGCAGTAAGTAATTAAACTGAAAATATAGAATAAAAAATAGCGAAACACGTTTTTAAAATTTGTTAAAAATAATACAAAGGAACAAAGTTTTAAAAAAATCGTATTTTTAATAAACTAGTAAACTGGCAGGTGGGGTTACGCAAACCCCAATTCGTACAAAAATCGTTATATCGTACACGAAGTAAAATATCGCGATTCGTTGACACCGGTAGAGTACTGACGGACAACTGGCCGGAAGATACACAGGGGATAGCGAGCCTCGCACCATTATTTAATACTTGGACTTTAAATGTACGTCCATGGAGTTTACGCTTTCCCATGTTCTTAGGATGTTCCAGAAGAACGTCCATAGGATATCCATGGATGGACACAAGACATAAGATGGATGTTCAAAGTCTAATTTAGGACTCCTGCGGTCGATAACGGCTACCATACTAAATAGTTACTTTTTACAAAAATAGCAAACAAAACAATTTTTACAATTAACTACACTTAAAAAATAACAAATGTTTTATTTGTTGTTAATTGTTAAAATTGTTTTGTTTGCAAACCATGACAGTTTGGTTAAATTAATTTACTATATAGTAACTATAATTTTATTTATAGAAACACCTCAGAAATACCAAGTTACGAATTAAACTTTATTAATAGGGTTGGTTTATATAAAAACTCCGGTCAGCAATAAAACATACCTAATAAAAAAAAGTCAGTCATGATTCAAATCGTATCATGGTAGTCAGTGACATATTATTATTAAAGGCAATGTCATTGAATTATTTCAAAATGTTAAACACCAATATTTTTATACTTGAATTATTTGTTTAGTGTTAAATATAAAATAAAACTTAATTAATTCACTATAATACCAATATATCAGTTATGGGGCCCATATCAAACTTATATGAGTTTATAATGACATTGAATAGAAAATTTGTGCGCAAGCAGAATTTAAATTGAAATTTGCGAAAAAAAGTTAGTTTTCAGCCCGCCTTACCAGCCCCCTACCCCCAAAATTAAGATTATTCAAAATAAATTAAGTGGTGCAATTCATAATTCACTAAAGTTTATCGACAAAACTAAAAATTTATTTTAAAAATCCCAGACTTACAGAATTATGAATTGCACCACTTGAATAATCTTAATTGGGTGTAGGGGGCTGGTGAGGCGCGCTGAAAAACTGACTTTTTTTTCGCAAACTTTAATTTAAATTATGCTTGCGCAGAAATTGTCTATTCAATTTCATTATAAACTCATATATGTTTTATATGGGCCTCATGTCTAATAACTGAGATATTGGTATACCCAAAATCTACCAGCCGCTACTGTCTAAACCTTTTTTATCCTAAATCCTATGTTTGTAATTTGATTAGAATAAACAAATTTATACATAACTCAGAATAAACAAGTAAACCAAAATTTTTCACAATTTTCGTTCCTAGGCTCATTTTGACATCATATGCATATATATGGAAGTCCACTTCCAACGTACATTGTATTTACATTTATTACATAACATGGACATCCTATAGTGTGCCAAAATTACGTTATATGTACGTACATGAAACGTCCATATAATATTCTTGGACATACTATGGATATCCATTTGTATAGAGATGGATGTCCTATGAACATCATATGGACGACTTTGTGCTCTATGGGTTAAATCTGCGATATCTCGCAAAATAACGAGATCTTGCGAGATTAGACCTCTTAAATCTTGCAATACCAAGATTGCATTCCCTAGTACGCAGGATGTAGCGAGGAGGGGTGTAGGAGTGTCACACCCCAAAATTTTCCGGAGTCGGCAATATTTTCAATGAATGGGAGCACTTTCCAAAAATACGATACGAAATTACTTCGGTTTTATTAGCTGGCTAGGTAATCAATTTTAATATAGTAGACGAAAGAGTTTTCTCATTTATTTTGGTATGGATTAGGTTTTATATTTCTAAGTTTTATATAAATATAAGGATTATTTTGATGGA